CCAGTAGTCAGTACATATAATATAATAAAAAATCGCATGAAGCGAATAAAATAAAAATAAAAATTATAATGCCGTTTAGAACTCAAGCGATTGGTTTGGTTTTTTCATATTCAATAGGTATAGACTATAGTGTATTAATTGGGCACCTGTGCACACGATTTTGCATACTACATTTTTGTACTGTGAATTTATTTTAGAAATTTTAATTTAAGTTGTTATGTTTAACACTATATAGGTAATGAGAATCGTGGTTACATAAAAAAAAATATATTAAATGTTTTCTATCAAGTTATTCAATAATTTTTTATGTTGGCCTCGGACAAAATGTAAACATAAATTAATTACTTTTTCTTTAATTTACTGAGATTTGTGTTAATGTTGGTACTTTTTAAAATAAATATTTTTTTTTAAATTTAATATGAAGGGTTGTTAGGCATATTAAATATAGAAGACAATATGTATACATATATTGGAATGTAATGCACTAATATACGAAATTTTTCAGTTTAAAAATCGAAGGCCACGGTAAAGTGTTTTTAACGTGGCCATGTTTTTTATTAAACCAAATATGATGGACACATTTTCGCCAGTCGACGGAAAGTTTCTTCGTATAATAGTGTCCGCTAAAAAAAATAGATACTTTTTTGAGCATCCTACAATTTGAAAATGAAAAACGAAAAATTATTTTTTAGTTATTGTTTCTAATAAATAATAAATAATAATAATAATAATAATAACAATAATAATGCTTTCTAATAAATACTACGTTTATTGTTTTCTGTTTATATATAAATATATATATATATATCATAATAATTGTGCTGTAATATTTTTTCTTTAATAAAAACACTAAAAAAATATAAATTATAATAATAATTCCCTGTATTATTTAATTTAACATAGCTATTATTCTAATCCCCTACGTGTTAAGTAGATCAGTTGAAGATAATATAGTGTAACCAAGGGTTGTACAGTGATAATAATTGACACTTAAAATATAAATAATTTTGTTAACTTCAAAATACCTATGAGTTAATTAATCTAGAAGGTATTAATTAGTTATACTAATGCACATAGAAAGCTCTCGATACCTACTGACCAAAAGTATGTGCACAGTAAAGGGTCATAACGTACTATATAAGTTTAATAACATATTAAGAGGACGTTATACCCTCTATTTATTAATAAGAACGGTATAGGCAATTTTTACAATACTTTAAATTAAAGGTTAAACTGTGTAATTATTAGTTCAGTAATTAGGACTCTTTTTTGGTTTAAATGTTAAATATTAGGTTTATCAAAAAAGGATATGACATCTTGTCATCATTCTTCTTCGTAATAGTATTTTTGGTCTATAATCATCAAAGAGTGAGTAAAATGCATTCTATCTAACAATAAGTATGTTTTAACGCTAGAAAATTGTGTGTAGAACGTCTTCTTAACACTAGAATAAACATAAAAATTTTAAACTATTATTTTGTATTTAAACAATAGTACAATACCATTAGCAATAATTAAGTTTAGAAAAATGAAATCGTAATACATTTTAATAAATTATATATTTATGTATTGCGTCATTTTTTCATGTTCCAATTTATTTTACTAGTGTTGGTAGTTAAAACGTTTAAAAACATTAAAATTGTATTTCTCTTTTGTTTTATGGGTTAATTATGGATATATTCACTAGGGCAATTTTAACATGTCATATTAGATATAGTCCCTGATCTGTACATTTTTTTACATTCACATAATATAGCCTCTAGTTCAGCTTTAATTATAAAACAAGATGCCGTAGCCACGCTTTTACCTCGTTTTTCTTGACGAATCCGCTGTACGCCGAAGATTTGTGTATTTGGTGTTTTCTGAAAGTTTTTCAGCCGAGTCTGCAACCACAAAAGATCATTTTCATGTCTTGTTGAAGTACCGAATAAATTTACAGTACTGGTGGAATTATAGATAATGATATAGTATATTAACGAGCGGTAACAAGCTAGTATAATAAAACGTCAAGTTTCTGGCTAAAATTGTAGTGTTTATTCCTGTAGTTTTATAACTGGCTTAAAACAATTTATAGAGAAATTGGGCTCTTAAACTGTTTTGAATTTATTATTTAGTTCTAATTTGAACGTTGAACGTACAACATATCTCTTATCTCCTATATCTTACCCCTATCACTAACCCCCTATCCCCTACCCCTATATCCCACCCCTACCCCTATATCCCACCTCTATCACTCACCCTTATCCCCTACCCCTATATCCCACCCCTTATCTCCTACCCCTATTTCCACCTCCAACCCATCTCCGTGTGGTAACGCTCTTTTGGTAACGCTTTTTTCCGGTTATTTGCCATAGCTAATTCCACCCCTTTCCCATACCCACCCCATTTCTTTTTTCGTTACGCTCTTTTGGTAACGCTTTTTTCGATTATGTGCCAGAGCTAAGACATGAAAATGTCAATATAGTCTCTAATCCGCCTGACAAACGAAACAGGAGTTATAATAGAAGTTTCCCAGGATTTTTCTTTATCCAGTTCCACACTATCATTGTATGTAGTCACAGAACTTGTTATGTTTATAATACAATAAACTGTCGGTAGATTAATTTATCCTTAATTTACCTTCCTCAAAATGACCATTAATGTACATGTTATTTGTAATAATTGTGTTATATTTTATATGATTGATTTTTGTTAGGGATAAATAAACAACGCAAGGTCTGAGCCTAAAAGTCGCATAATTTATTCTACACTTAACATTAATAATAATTAGTATACTAGTAATTAGGCTTTATAATTATTCAAAAACTCGTTTTTATACGCAAAAAAAAAAATTAACTATTTATAGTAACAATAATTGTTATTTTTATTACGCGGTAATTATACATTTAAATATATTTAACTATAACAACGTATGACTATAATAATATTTTATACAAAAATTCGACTAAGTAACGATAAACACACTATTAAATGTTATGTAAGTATATAAATATTCACCCCGGTCTTGATGGTATTAAACAAAAATGGGTAGGAATGATGGACGAGTACGAAGGTGTTTTTAAGAAAAAGCGTAACCCCTCCCCCTTAAATTTAAAACAAACTTTTTAAGACAATATTTTCTAATAAACAAAATATTAAGGAAATTGTTGAAGAAAAATTGTAAAAAGATCACTTGTCAAATGAAACGTGTGAGACGTATGTTGATAGTATATGTTAATAATAACGCTAATAGTTTTTATAAAAAAAATTGAAGAATTAAAAAAAATATATAAATCCATAAGTCTTTTGATTAACTATTTTAAGTAAAAAAGGACGCAAATTGTAAAATTCAATTCACTAGCGTTAAGTTTTTACTAAAAACCAAATTTATTTATCAGAACTGTTGAGAACAATTATTTTCCGTATTAATAAATTACCAAACGTACGATATTTAAATATAAATATTCATAATATATTGAAATAATAGAATATTCAAGTAAAAAACGAAATTGGTTCAAGAGTTTAAAAAAAATTACAAACATTATTTTTAAGTTATGAATTATTGATACTTATGGAATAAGTAGGCGAGTTGATATTATAAAGTTACAATTAAAAAAAAAAAAATGTTTATATACGTACAGGACAATCCATCTGATGTAAGACACTCGTTTTCTCAGAAATTATGATTATTTTGAAAATAATTTTTTCCATAAACTTGTAGATACATGTTTTACTATATCTTTCAGTACGTTGAAAATATTATAATATCTTCATCCCTTTTACGTAAAACTAGTATGGATATGGTTTTTTTTTAATGGGAACATATGTTTTAATAATTCCATTAATATAAAGAAAAAGATGTTAGTGTTTGAACTTTTAATTTTCATTAATCTATTCGTTTTTTATGACTTTGCAAAGATATTATATTTCGCCTTATATTTATGATATGTCCAGGTAATGTTTTGAGATAATGATAGGCAAGCGGACCAAGTCTACCAATTCAAACACACTAACGTTGGCGGTGTTATCGACGGGGTCAATATCATTATTTGATGGGAAGCTGCTGTGTTACTGTTGTAAAACCCGAACGAATTTAATCTTAAACTCAAATCTTTATAATTAAAAAAAAATGTCTACATATTTATGGAATTAAAAAATCATGTCTTACCATTTGAAAAAACGTAGTCCATACTTCTTTTCTGTATAAACTATGAAGGTAAATGTTTTCTAAGTATTGAAAAATATAGTAAAATATGTACCTAAAAGTATGAGAAGAAATTATTTTTGAAATATTCATATTTTCCGGGAAAATGAGTGTCTTGCATTGGATGGATCGCCCTGTATGTATATATCCTTTTAAAATTATAAACTGGCGGATAAAAGACCTATGTAAACAAATTATTTTGAAAGTAAATAAGAATAAGGAGAAAGGTACTTAGTTAATAATTAAATGCAAATTATTACGGTTGGGGAAACGCTCTTGAAAATAAATATTTACAATTGTTGGTAGATAGTTGAATGAAAAAATAATTATAATTGCGATCCTTTCTACCAATGTTTTGTACAAGTGTGATTTTGCTTCTTAAACATTTTTTGCTACGCCGAACAATATCAAGTTAGTTGTAAATTATATTCTACAAAACGCCGTCGAACCATTATCATTACGCATGGTTAGACATCCTAGTACGTTCAATAAATAATACAATAATATAATTATAATAATAATACAATTATACACAATATAGGTTTTCCCCTCCAAATATTATGGCTGTCGTCAAACGTCTACACAACTTACATGGTAAGATAATGAAACGTTTTAAATTATTATACTCATATCTAGTTTCATTCCTTAAATATAATTTATTATATATATATATATATATATATATATATATATATATATATATAATTATCTACATTTAAACAAAACGGCCGGTAGGCTGTACAATATTCATAATAATGCATAAAACTTATATATGATATATTAACTAATTAATTAATAACAATAACGGTATCGATTATTGTCTTGTATAGTAAAGTAATTTATGTAATGTACACGTCAACGATAAAACAAAGTTAAAGAGTTATTTTCATACCGTTAGGAGTAGAAAATAACAATAATTAAACTACGAAAACTGTTGATGTAAGCAAACAGCTAGTTTTGTTATTTTCGAATTGTTTGCTTGGAAGTTTTCTGCCGGTAAAATTCAATACCTACAGTTGTACGTGGCGCCACGATGATAAACATTTTGCAACCAGAGTCGTATTTAGAATTTTAGGCCCTTTAAGCCATAAAAAGTGTTTACCTTATCCCTTTTCTAAGTCCTCCATAATATATTATTCGTTTTTTACAAAAAAAAATTAATAATTTACTTAAACTTTATGCTTTCTAAAATTTTGCTGCCCGGAGCCACACTCTAAATACGTCTCTGTGCGCAACTGACATTTAGAAGTGACAAAAAAAAAAAAAAACAGTCGATGGCATCGGTCAATCTGATATCCGGAAACATAATGCACTCTTACACATACCACTCTTTCACGTCTTGGCGCTTTTTGTTGGCCGGTCTTGTCGTCCGGAAATTGTTTTGCACGTACGTGACAGACGCGGTGGGCGACGGCTGCATGCTGGACGGCGAGTAATAGTTGCCACCAGGCGACAGCAGCGGGTTCGAGTTGTGGTGATGACTGCTTCCGGAGTGATGGAGATCGCCGAGTTGGTGCCGGCCGTGGGGCTGCTGCTGCTGTTGGTGGTGGTGCGGGTCGACGACCGGGTACGCTTTGGGTATTTCGATCTTATATCTATTGGTGTCCGTCCGGTACTTGACCTTAAGCACCACGAGTATGATCAGCACAATGACGATCAGCGTGCCGGTGGTGACGAGGACCACGTAGGCAGTGCTTTCGGCCGCCTCCGTGTTGATAGGCACGTCTCGTTTTGGCGTGCCCGGTTCGGTTGGGTGCGGATTGCCCGCGAACCTGTCGCCAAAATCTGCTGGCTGAGACGTCCATACCGGCTTGTCAACATTGTTGTGATACACCGACTCGTCGGGCACGGTGTTGTAATACGGCGAAATTGTGCTGACGGTTGTGGTGCTGGTAGTGGTACTGCTGATGCTGCTGCTGCTGCTTGACACCGATGCGGCATCCGTCGACGTAACTGTGGACACCGACGATGTCGACTTGGTCGTTTTTACGGGCGGTTTATAAGACGAAAACGGAGGCGGCGCCGGTGACGTACGACCACTGTAGGGTACAGTGACAGAGGCCGATGACGTTGTGTTGATCGGATGTTGTTCAGTACGATTTGGCGCCGACTGTGTCGTTCGGTTCACTAATATGGACGTGGTTACTTGAACAGCGTGTTTGGAACCTATGTAACAAAATGTACAAATTTATAATACGTTGGTAAATTATTTACTTATTTTGTATATAATTATCTCAAAGTCCATGGTATCCTCCCATATTCGTTATCTACTATCCTCACTTTTAACTGTGGTGAATTCTGTCGCACCCGGCGGTGATGTTGGACCAAACCCAGATCCCGCTGTTATGCAATCCGTCTCCTCGTCATCGTCGTCGCAACCGACAGCCGTAGGAGGCCGTGGAACTCCGGTGGCTAGCGGTGGTGGCGGTACCGCAGTGGCCGGCACGTAAACAGGTGTGATCAGATCGTCTCCTTAACGGTTACAAAACGGTGTGATCAACCATGTTACAGGTGGTCTAGTCGCAAAGTGCAAATGTATCGATAGACTTACCTGTGCCGGTGGTATCGTATGCCACGGTGCACTGGTCCTCGTCGTCGTGGTTACAACCGGATCCGGCGCCCGAGTACACCAGGTCGTCCATCACGCCAGACGCAGGAGTCTGAAGAAAATTATTACAGAGTTCATTGTCGTATGAAAACAATACTTAACCGTATTTACATAATATGTGCGTAAAATATTTTTTTCCGTGATCAATTTTAATTTTATCAGGGATTTAATTTAAAAAAAATATATTATATTGTATTTATGGACATGTGATGTTTAGTCAGGTTACCTGTTGCATAGTGTCCAACAGAGAATGTTCGTTAAGCCGGTCTATTATGGACGAGATCACGTGACAGTCTCCCCGGCTGGTTGCCCTCGAATCGCCGTCGGCCATCAAGTCGAACACCCGCAGACCGTTGAACACCAAACCCATCATAACGCCCTCGTACCCGTTCTCGATCCGCTGTGCCGTTCTATTCCAACGTCCGCCCACCTGGATCGTCGACTGACCGTTAAACACATTTAGCTGGTGCCCGGACGGATAATGCGTCTGCATGCTGTTGTCGTCCACTTGCAGAGTGGAGTTTGGCCCGGACCGCGTGAACCTCACTAAGTGGTACATATTGTCGTTAACCTTGACGTTGGCTTCGCCTATCGGGTGATCGTTGGTGCCGATATTGTACACGACAATTATATTTCCGTTGATCTGTGAAAAACATTAAAATTTCATAAATAAAGTGTGGTTAGACGAGGTGGAAAGAAGCAACATAGGGTAGGTATTGGAGTCGTTTAGAATAATAGTCAAATTTTATACAACTGTAGTGAGGTCAGGTGATGTATGGAAACTCACTTCCATTTTGTTGGGCAACACGCATTGAATAAAAAAGGTGAACAAAAATAGTAGTTGAAATAATGTTGAGATGGATGTGCGGTGTGGTTAAATAAGACAGCATGAAAAATGAGTATAATAGAATAAGGAGTTTGGGAGTGACGCCAATGGCAAAAAAAAAATGAAAGAGAAAAGTTTGAGATGGTTCAATAAAAGAGGAAAATTAAGTAGTGTAAAAATGGATAAGATCATTTCAGATAACATGTGTAATGTGTTTATGTTTTTTAAAATTTTAATTTTTCTGGAAATATACAAGTATAGAAATTGTACCAAGTATCAAATTTTACTAATTGTTGTTATTTGAAAGTATTAGATTCATATCTTAATTTTTGTATTAATTCCTTTTTTTTTTATAGATACAATTAGTTAAAATGAATTGCCACACACTATTATTCTACGTGGACCCTTACACTGTTAACTATATAAATATAAATAAATTTGTATTTTGGGGTGTTGTGTAATACTTTCTAGCCTCCCATTTTTTCTAACCTTTTCTATGTCATAGTGGTTTTGACCGAGAAACTTCCCAATAGCATATGGTATTTGAAAAAGAGAGAAACTGTGATACATTACCATTTCAACTTGCAGGTAATCGCTGGATGTGCCACTATCTACGCGAAACATCACGCCATTAAGTTTAGAAGTGATGATACCAAAGGCCAGTTTGTCGTTCTGCATATCCGGTTGTTGTCCTACAGGAAAACTGTAGCTCATCATGCCGCCATCAGGTCCAAACTCATATGAAAGGGACGCTAAAAGGGCACAGTTGTTAAAGGTGTTAACTTAGATTGTTACTATCAATTGTGTAAGACACTTACGTTCTGAACACGTGAGTCCGACGTACGCCGTCATGTCACAGTCACAAGAATACGAATTCCACTGTTCCACACAAGTGCCGTGGTTGTCGCACATGTCTCTCGCACACATCCGACCTAGTCCTGTACAAGACATAGACAAGTTTGATTAAAATACTTAACTAAGGTGATAAAGCTAAGGGTTTGGTTAAGATAAGCAATCACGCTCACCGTCGCAACCGGCCGTCACTAGAGTGCTAGGTATGACCGCGTTCTCGACCATGTCCGGCGATTCTCCATTATACTCCAGCCCAGACATGCAGCCTTCAAAACCATGCCTAGAATGCATGTGCTTGGCTTGTCGTTTATGCAGTTCCTTGGGCACTCCACCTGTGAACCCGTAAGCGCGTTTAATATCCTATATTTCTCATAAACTACAAAATATTATGTTAACTTCAAAAAATCTATTATATACTGACCGACATAAAACATGTCGTTCAGTTGTATATTGTGTGGTCTAGACATAGTGGTAGTGGCGACAACTTGGTCATCGACCATTAAGCAAAACATGGTTGGCGATATCTGCACCAAATGAATAGTGTGCCAGAAATTGTCGTTTAAAACCATCTTGGAGGTGTCCCTCAACCGCACCACGTGAGTGCCTGACCGGATGTTGACCAATACATGACCATTGACAAGTTCAGTGAGAGCAAAATCATTGCGCTTATCGCCAGCGCCGTTGAAGAAAAACAGTCCGGAAGAATGTCTGGTTTTGAACCGGAAGTACACCTCTATCCTGGAATATGCTTTCAAGGGGGGGAGTCCGACAAAAGTGTTCTTAGACAAGAACGTAACGGTATGAATCATCGTTGGCGGTTTCTCTTGTTTCAACAAGCCAACGGTCATATGTATCTTGGGCAGATCTTCGGAAACTGTAACAGTTAAGTTTGTTATTGTTAGTATTTCTTTCTAAACTCACTGAAATAATAACATAGAATTGAGTGAAATGGGAATTGCACAAGTTTTGTGCGAAGAAAGAACCTACCGTTTCTTTCTACATTAATTTTCCATTGATACCCTCGCTGTCTCTTTCTCATCTTATCTATTATAGGTACATCTAAGTTTTTTCTTTTATAATTAATACGATACATATTTTATCCGACTTCGTCACTTCACACACCACCCACGAAATTCTCTAATACTTCATTTCGCTTTAATGATTATTATAAAATCGTTATCAGTACTGTATATTATAGGAAAACATAGTTGTAGGTAAAAGAAAGGTAATTGAAGGGAACACGATGTTGGTCGTGAACATTTTTCGGTAATACTCACAGCCTTTGACAGCAATTTTCGCAATGTCGAAAAAATGCATCTTGTTTACTACGAACTGTCGCATGCTGCCGATGAAACTGGGTAAGTCCGTCATGGCCTCCGGATCTGTAGGGGGCGACCCTCCTATCAGCATGCCCTGCCATCTGAGCGTGATAGCATCGTCAAGGGGCGAATCGTCTGTGAACCAAAAATTTAAACACGATCACAATGTTGCCAATATAAATATTTTTCGAACATCTAAAGTAAAGATCGCACCTCTGGCGGTTTCGTTGTCCACTTTTAGTCGGATCTCGTGTCCTCGTCTTGCGTAGTGTAGATAATGCCAGTTATTGTCGTCCAAATGAGTTCCACACAGCACCACCTGATTGTTCAAATACAAAGCTTGAGCATCACACGTTGTAGGCGAATGCGCCAACGTATTATTGTGTACAAACCTTTTCTTTGTCACCGATCTTCAACGCCAAGCGGATCTTTCCCACGATTAATGCTATTTCCAGTCTGTCCCATGAGCTGTCGAATGTCTTCATCAGCATGGCCAGCGGTCTGTTCGTCTTGAACCGGAAATACATGTCTTCCGCTTGGGTGGTCATTTTGTCCGGCATCACAGCTTGTACATATTGCGACCCGTTGAAATTGTACGCGGGCGTATCTGTGTACAGACAATAAGAATGATTTTCGAAACAAGTCCAGATAGCTAGCACCAAGTGGCTCACCTCGGGTGCACGCTACCCCGTCGTACTCGGTCGGCCAACAGTCACAAATGACTCTGTTCCAACCTTGGCGACATATGCCTCCGTTGTAGCACGTGTCCGGTTGGCATCCAATGAACTCCGACGGCTCTGGGCAATGTGACGTCACCGAAACTGTGAAATCAAACGAAATGCGTTATCGTCAAAATGCGATTTCACACACCATTGCTCTCAATCCGTGTCGGCTGCTCGAATCTGATTTTTTTCTACTTTCCTCTACGTACACATTTTATTCATTATAGTCACTGAACTCAGTATATGAAACGCGTGTTCAGATTGAAAAATGTCCCCGCCTGAGAGGCAGCCATTTTGTGTACCCATTTCATAGAAAGTAAAAATGCCACGTCACTTTTCCGTGATATGTATTAAAATGTTAGGTTAGGTGATGATAACATTATGATAAATCGGTCATATATTTAATAAATCATAGAAAAAACAATAGCTGTACACAAAATGGTAGCCCTTTTAACAGGGGACATTTTTATAAGCAGCCGATACATTGAGTTCAGTGGTTATAGTACTGTAATAATTTTATAAACGCGTTTAAACCATGTCTGTCTTTTTTTTTCGTTTTCTTTGTTATTAGCTATACTCCTGAACTATCTTAATCCATTAACGTTGTACATTTTAGCAACCGCATTTTTTGTACTTGCTCTTCTCCTGGTTTTATTTTAATTACACTGTCTTACGGTTCCTACCTCACTAAAGTTTTGTACCGTTATTTCCTCTTTAACTCAAACATCGTTTTTAATGCAAATTCAATAGTCACCCTCCCCCTACAAGTATTTTTTTATTTTACAACAATGTGCAATATAAAACTTAAGTTTCTTACCTCTGTCTTGCTCAAGAGATAAACCGACCAAATTTATAGTCACTCCATCCACGACTAGGTCGCGCACACAACCGACAAATCCAGTCTCCATAGACAACGTCCAAACGCCAGGGGGTACCTTCTTGTGGTATACCGCTCGTCCACCAAAGCCCAACATAATACCATTCTGAAGATGTAGCTGATTGGAATCGCCTGAAACGAACCCGTCACTGTTAAAGGATTTGCTAAAATATTCTAATACCAAAAGGCTACACGAAAATTCTGTACTTTCCTACTCAATTCTAGACTATTTAGATAAAATATGTTTATTAAGTTTAAAAACACCTCTTACTATGTAGAATTTTTGCTCAAACCTATAATTAACGAGTAACTAAACTATACTAAAATATAAAATGCTCGTAAATTTGTACTTATATATAAATGTACATATTTTGTTCTTATTGAAAACGTGTGAATGAGCTGTATTAGCTAAGATTATGAATAAATTAATAATAAAACCCTTTATTTTTTTTGTAAATTCGAATATTTTTGCCACTTGCTATTCACAACGTTCCGACACCTAAACTATATCTCTATGTTTTTTTATTGAAATCTAACTATGAGATTTTATAAGTAATAACATTATTAAAATTAATTATAATTTAGGTATAATTTATCAAATTTTTTTTCATATTTTTATTATTATAAATTAGAGCAATTTTTTTTTTCTTTACTTTTAAAGTTTAATACAAAAAATACACAAAAGATGTTTACTTTCTTCAAAAATGTTCAGCGTTAACTTGCGAAATACTTAAACGGGCTACTATACGGAAAGGTTTCGACACTGCGGTGTCGTTAACCTTTGTGTTTAACCTTATATTATACACTTATACGACCATAATATGATAATTTTATTTTATACTTGTGTATGTATATTTTTTTTTTACCTATTGTCATGAAGTCAGACGGATAATCGTCGATAGTGCAATGTATATCTCTGTCGTTGCGCCAAATAGAAAACTCATGCCACTCGCCGTCGTTGATTTTAGCGTTGTCAGGGCTTATTTCGAATCTTGTGCCACCTGTACCCAAATCCAAGTACACATACACACGCCCGTCAACAATTTCAACGGCATAGGCTCCAGCCTGTAAATTCAAATATTGCATTAAAATATTTCTAGTATTAAATATTGATTTCAACTTTCTATCCAGATTCATACCCTGAAGTATAAACTACAGATGTAAGCAAGGCTATTATGAAGTGAAAATATATAGTACATAATAGTTATACACGGATATGCATTAGATTATATAAAAATAAATTAGTTTGAATTGAACAATTAATGTTAGATTAGCAGCGAGAAAAATGAAAAATAAATTGATCGATGTGATATGAGCACGTTAAAAATTAGATGATAGTGTATTAAATTCTATTTATTTAAAAAAAAAAAAATTACTTTATGTATATAATAAAGTGTTTTTAGATAGATCAACACAATAATGTCTATTTGCTATACTATACTTTTAAAACATGGAATGTCACTTTAAATAGCCTAGGTTATCAATATTGGTAATATTATTTGACGTGTCTGTGTTAATATAAATCGACAGTTGACAGTAAAGGAGTAGGTACTTAACGTTTTGTGAATTGCCGAATTTCAATAATATTCGAACTGGAGTTGTTAACGTCACTATAGAAGTATTTTATAATAATTATAAAGAGAATCGAACGCAAATGATCCCGTTTGATCTCAAAGGCAGAACTGGAGTGTTGAGTGAAAAGTGTTCGTTATCAATACTACTCCTCCTCGGTGGTATCGTTAAGGATTATCAAAAGGTTTGTTATAAAAAAAATCGAGCGAGTAGTACATCACGACCTTTAAATGAAAAGAAATGGAAAAAAGTATTCAATAACGTTTCGGTTTTATTCAAGGCATAACACAAGCGTTTCTGATATTTTTTTTGCTGCAAATGATTTTTTAATCATATACTTAACCTAATTTATACCTGACAAATAAATATTCAGTATAGAACTGCTTAAAGAATTGTTGTCGACCAAGCATTTTTTAACCGAAATAATGAAATCTAATAATAAATCAAATGCGTAAAAAATTGTCTATGATATGCGTTTTATGAATGAGTAATATATTCACCCTAACGTGTATATGAAATAGTGAGAAAAGGACATAAATTACGTTTATACAATTTTACAAGAGAGCAAAATGTACATTTTTTTTTCTTTACAATATTTTTATAGGTGATTTTTATCCACTTCAATATGTTTTACAGAAATTTATGGAAAATCGTAAAAAAAATACAAATGGAATTAGGTTTAATTGTGAAAAATATCATATGAACAAAAACTTGTTTTCGAAAAAAATGTCGCTTGCATTCTTTTGGTTCTGATCACTTCATATTTGGTGTAGACAAACCAACGTCATAGCACATCATACGTACCGTGTGTTCGGTTTGACCTCTGCTGAAGAATAGAAGTCCGTCCGGCTCGTTGGTCCGAAACTTGACGGAAATCGAACCGCTGGTCGTACCTTCCCAATTTGGCAGCATCTGCAAACCAACCGAAAATTTTAAATTGGGCTAAAGTTTACAAGTCGCGCGCGCCATAATAGCATATTTATAGATAAACCTAACCTAATCGTAAGCTATAATATTGTATTATATTCACCAAAGACCGTTGAGTTGCCCCGACAGTATATTGCATTTTTTTTAAAAACTATTTAATTGTAACGATTAATGTTCGTCAATTCAAACCTGTTATCCGCCCCGTTCAAATGATCTATCAAAAATGACCTAAATTATTATTGTTATTGAGCTATTATAAAACGGACGGTAACTCACCGCCACCTTAAATTTTTTCATATAAATTATATTATAATTTAAATATTATTAATTATAAGAAATAAAAACAACATTTTTTGCATTAAATTACATATATTATAATTTTCACATTGTTTAGTGTACATTATGTTATTGCTCTTGCATACCGGTCATTCGGGAACATAGTACGTAGTTAAGTTTCTTAAAATGTGTTCCATAGCCCAAGTCACGTATGGCTGCTCAGGGATGTAGTCTCGTGAGTATGAAAAAGTAGCATTTGCAGTATCCACACTGAAATGCGGAAAAGGATCATCGAAGACAGATGATAATGTCTGTAACTTGTGGAAAGACAACGCGTCGTGGTATAAATAACGCATAATGTTTTAATGCAGAATTCTATTTACTTGTAAAAGTCGCGCCGTATAGGTATGCGTTACACTTTCAATATCGGTTAGAACGTGACGCGAAAAGTAATATAACCATTAACCTTTGGCGACGTAAAAAAGGATGGGAATAAATATAAGGCAAACGAATGATTTCGTTGGAAATAGTAAAAAAAAAAAAATAAATAGTCAAGTCGAACATTTTTTATTACTCTCATACGCTATCGATGTATATTATACCTATACCCTACGACATATTCGACAGTAAACACACACACTTGTGTATGTATATATATATACACACATTATATAGTTTATAGAATATTTGTATAGAACATATTCATATGGCCACCTAGTCTACTATTTCAAGCAGTTTTTAAAAAGCATATTTTATAATGATGACAGGTCACCAAAAGGGTTTGTTAAAGAATACACATCATATAGGTTTATATACATTTTGAGCTTTGTGCAACCTAATAAAAAAGATGATCCGAAAAATACATTAGCTTTTTAAAAATGTACCTTTGCCACCTAAATAATGTAATGAAAATAACGTTTCAAGACCAGTTTCGATTAATAATACCGTGACTGTCGATAGTGATAATTTATTCACATAATAAATCCCGCTTTTTCGAAGTACAAAAGAGGCAATAACGTAAATAGTCTTAAGATTCCAAGTTTTCAACCCAAATATTGCGTTTGCAAGAGTTTGAGAAAGTAAAGTTTAAGTTTAGTAGTAAATCAAATTACAAAATAAACGATCATGGCCGCACTATTTTCAAACACTTTCTTCACCTAATTAAAGTACCTACTCGACTTTCCAAAAACTTCAAATACATTTTACAATCTAATTTTGATTGTTTAAGTTACATAAGACTTGAGTAAAGTAACGGGCACTTCTATCATAAACGTTTTGAAAATTTACTAGCTTTATTTTTAATAAAATTAGTTAAAAACATAACCTTATTTGCTTAAAGTCGAAGGTCCTAGTTACGAGTTAAGTATGAATACCGACTAGGGTTATATTATATTTATAATATGACGTGTTGAAGACATATCGCATTTAACCAGATCAAATTAAATAAACGTGCTTACACGGCTATGTGTTAGCAGTTTATGTAGTTTTAAAGTTTATAACGACTGACGGGAATATTATTTTGAACTGTTGAATGGACCACGTTGATCAGAGATATAACATGACGATTTAATAATTGCTTTTAAGACAAATGTTTTGAAATTGTCCGCCCGATAAATGGACCGAGACCAACCAAATTTCGAATTTAGATCCGGGCAGTTCATTTCCAAATAACGACTTTTTTAATGCATTATTCGAGATGGTTGCTATTCCATGTCATTCAACTCGAGCAATAAGGTCGGCAGGTCACCAGGATACGATATCCATGGCCCATGCTCAAGTATAAAAAAAAGTATCCGACACAGCGGCAATAGCCCTGCGGCATCCCGTTCTAATATAATGTGGTCATTTCCGCCTGGATGTGTACAGAAGCCGCCACTAGGAAATTACTTAAAAGTATACATCTAAAAACGAAAACTACTGCCGTAAAATGTTTTTGTGCGTAGTATGCATACAAACTACAGACTAGCAACGTACACTCGGTTAGGGGTTTGATTGTTTTGCGTTTTGGTATTTTAGGCGGAAATTGAATACAAAAATTGAATAAACGCTTTTGTTATTCGAACAGAATACATTTTCGTATAAAATTCTATATTATATTAAATGGCTTTTGTATACATAAGTAGGTCATTTACGCGTCTGTGCACTACATGGATGTTGAATGTATTTTGAAAATGTTGTGTTTGTGTGTAAAAATGAGTAGATTGCCAAACGGTATATTACCTCATAAATTATTTTCAAATATGCAATCAGCCGATTAATTCACATATGAATTAAACATACATTTATAAAGTTCACTTGCTTTTTCTTCCGTCTACAGATACGCCAGCTTACATTTAATTCATATCTCTTTTATATTTTCACTTTTCTTCTTTGTACTTAGACCTTGCTTAAATTTACGAAAACCATCTCGGCTTATTTTACCCTTTGAATTCCCAGTTATTACAGAAAATTATTCCTAAATTATCTCTAACCATCTTATTCTTAAAATGAATTAAATTTATTCACTCAATGTATTTACATAAATATTTTCATTTCCATTTCTTATTATTCCTTCGCATCTCTATCTTTCAATACCTAAAATAAACACTCGCTTCAATACATAATAATTACTACCCTCACCACAGTGGAATACAATTTTTATAAAAATTTATATTTTTATTGTTTTCAAGTCTCACTTGATCGATTCCGCCTTACTAAAATTTATTCGTTACATCTTTTTCAATTATTCTACTCTGTAGAACAAGCCTAAAAAGGTACTAAATATTGTCTCATTTAGATTGATTTGACTGAAAGAAAAGGAAGGTTTAGAAAAAATGTCGACATAAAAAATTCCTAATCTTTTTACGACTTCTATTGTTTTGTTTTTCAGAATAATAATATACGTATAATATATGATTATTCGATATTTTGTTTGTATTTATCGTGAGTTTCAACAGATAATAACAAGTATTATAATTTAAATGTATGTAATAGTTAAACCGATATAATTGTCACGTTTACAACAAGCAATACAATCGTGGTACATGGTACTTTGTGTATAATTTTGAAAACACGTAGTCTACTGCGATAGACCCAAATAATAATTTTTTTGTGAACAAAACTTAGAATATAAAGCAGGGTGTACAAAAAAACGCAGTCGTGCGCATAGCAACTTGAAAATTATAAAATATTTCGAATTCGTTGGAAAAATCAATTTCCGTGCCTAGGGCGAGGGGCAGGCGTTGGTATATATATATATTTTTCACTGACTACGTTTAATGTTTTCCGGGTGATAAATTACATAAGACTTGTCATTTTTATTTGATTTAAATTCTAACGAGAAGAATAGTTGTACGGCACACACTGAAAGGGGTGCGTTTTTACCGGATTTGCGACTAGGTGACTTCAAACGTTTCCGAAACGCAACTGTAGGAAATCCGTTTACAAATTTAATGTTCAAAAACTGAACGTTTTTAAATTATTTACCAAGTGAACATTCCCAATGCTTATTTCAAATGATCATCTCTCAATTTGTAGGCGTTTGGCAATAATTGTCATCCTAAACAATTCTGACAAAAATTACATCTATAAACGTTAAACATAGTTATTGTTTTGGGCTTACTATGATTACAAAGTAGAAGTCCTAACTTAGAATCGTAAAAACATAATTCTAGAGACAGAAATTGAATGAGGAATAACGCTTCAGGTATATGTATTCTTCAGTGCATTGAAAGAAACAACAGACATTATAACTATTGTGATGACATTTTTGTATACGGGGCAAAATAATTAATTGTAAATATTTAAACTTTAGATTATTATATATGATTTACTATAATTATTTAAATTATTAAATAAAGAAAATATTTGTGAATTTTGGATATAATATTAGCTTGTGTTTTTCGCCCAGATATATAGCTATTGGCTACGTGTTAACTATATTTTAGGTGAATTTATATCCGAGTTTGAATTTAAATATGAAATAACTTTTTATATAAAATATGCACTTCCGACAAAGTAAAAAAAAAATATCAATTAACTTAGACCTCGAATTAATAGTGTTATTTTGTAATAATTTTAAATTATTTCTCAGTAATGACACCTTCATGATCAGCTAAAGTAAAAAATTCCTAATTCAGCGGTAATATTATATGAAAAAGCCGTAAATTCTAGCTAAGGTCTTATTGTATTGATGTGACAATTTATATTTTGTTGTTTGTGCATTTTTATTTCGCAAATAAATGTTTACACGAAGGTCTAGACAACTAAGTACAATATTAAACATTTAAACAAAATGTTTTTTGTCCTTAGTCAGTTTAAAATATTTTTTATTCTATTTTAAAAATACATTTTTTTTAGCCTCCGATCGTCATTAAATATATCTATCGCATATAAATCATTATGATTTATATACGATATATTTATATATGATCTACTCTATGATAGAATAGAGTATGCAATGTATAATCATAATTAATTTCATCACCGAGCTTTTGGGTAAATTGCTAGTAACGTGACACCGATTCGGTCGCTATTAGTGAAGCCAATTGAACTCGATTCCAGTCGAAAGGAAGGCTAACGTTTCCTAAGAAATCTGAAATCAGCTAAAGCAACCGTGCAATAGGACAAAAAGAAAAATCTCAAATATCAGTATTCAGTATTGTTACTCGATTTCGTCTAATTAGTTGAACAGCTACTCTCTTGTTACCCGGAACCGCAAATTATATGCTACCCAACCCGGCTACAATGCCACCAAGGGACACGAAGGTCCAATAAGAGATGTATCCTAACCCCACCGACTACCACACTACATTTTTACATTCGTTTGTAATTGAAATTAATTTAATATTAATTATTTATATTTGATAAATTGAACAACCCAAACGGTTTCGATGTAAGGTGTCTGCAAAGTTTTTATCGCTCATATGTTTCGAGTATCTTTTAAAGTCTCCATTCAAAAGGTTGGCTTCCCTTTCTTAGGGATTTTTCTTCGGATAGGGCAAATAAATACTATTATCTTTCTTCGTTCAGTAGTTCGTAGCAGTTATTGTTCCTGTTGACTGTTTTCTATCACTCGAACAAAATATACATCTTAAGTGATTACGGTACCGTTTGCATAATAAAGATCCAAACTGTTGTACATACATATATATATATATTATACAGGGTAACCAAAGTTTTACTTTACAGTAATTATTTCTATTAAAAAAGTTTGTAATAAACTGCTATTCTACTAAATTATCAATAAAAGTTTTTATTGTTCATAAGTAAAACATGTGGTTTTAAAGAGTAATTTAAGAGAGTAAGTTTTAAAGTCTAATAGCAACCTATATATAATTATATTTACCAATTAAAAGCGGTATAATGAAGCGGTATGTTTCGAATAGTTACTTTTAAAATTTTTAGCGATTAAATTTATTGGCACGGTGAGTGGTGAGCTGTTATAAAATTTGTATTTAAGCGCACTACTCGCCCGCAATTTAATCGTCGTCTATATAATATTAAATAATATAAAAATTCGTAAAATATTTAATTTATTTATTAATTCCATCTTTTTCGTCTTGATTATCATTTTGGTTTCAGACAAATTATGATTTTATAGTTATGCTAATAAGTTTAAACTACTGAACATTAAATATCCATTAATGTCTACAATATTGCACATGACAGTGTAACTGCTACAGTCGGCGGCCAAACCCGACCTTGCTCGCAACTGCAAATGTTAAAAACTAACATTGTATAGTATATAACTTGTGTATACTTACGAGAAACGATCGGGGCGTAGACAGGCATACGGGATCGTTCATCCCAAAGTCTTGGCACGAATACTGCAAACGACCGACCACTCTTATACTAGAGCTGCCAGTTTTTCCCATTTCTAGAAAATCGTATTTTCTCACGCCATCAGACGAGTACTCCACCTGTAATTAGAGGGAAAAATTATATATTTGTATTTACCACATTATATCACAACAATATTTAAGGGTTTATCGATCGGAGTCATTGGTTTTTTATATTATTTATTTTATTTATTATAACAATATACAACTACACAGTTTAGTTGGTTTATATGTTACTTTTAATTTTTTAAATAGTTTTTTTTATTCAGCTCTCTTCTACTATACAAACCCATTGAAATTTAAGAGCTAAACAAAAGACAATTTACCAGTAAGAAAAAATGAAGATGAAAGCATGAATAGCAAAATCTCGTAATTTATGATTTAGATAAGATGCATAATCAAAATTGTGTACAGATGGTTAATTATAAATATTGAACTGCATAAAAACCAATTATAACATCCGTGCGCACATAAGCTCTATTGCAATTAAATATTATCAACGTTATTGAAAATATGTATTCTAGAAAATAATATTATAATAATTATGACTACTGTTTAAAAAAAGTTATACTTAGTATTTTATTATAATTTTCTGGAAGTGCTTAATTCATTTAGGTTATGAAATAACTCGATTAATACCTGTATTGTCCTTTTTCAATATTTATATACAAGGTAAAAGTAAACAAACTTAGGTGAATAACATAAATAAAAAGTTTCCAAAAATAAAAACAACACAACTATTATTTTCCGAGAAAATGGGGGTCTTGTGGTTAATGGATTACTCTAAAAAGAGAAAACTATAAGTCTCATCTATAAAAATTAAACTTAGTTATTGAACATTTTACAGATTCATCTACGTGTTTAGTTTAGTTTTCAGTAGCAATTTGTTTTTAGCTTTAACCTTTTGTTTATAATGGAAAATCTGAATAGCTTTGAGTGCCACAGTGAATCAAGTCCTTAGTTATTCTCAATGCTGCAAAAATGGCATCATGTATACTGCATTGTACCACAGAGTAGATTATGAGAAAAACAATTTAGGAGCCGATTGGAGCTGTGATGGAATTGGTTCACATATGCTCTGAACTCTCCAATTTATTATGAGTGCATGTGTAAAAAAAATTAAACTGAGTATGTGTCTTATGCATTATTATTTTTAATTTCAAAACTTATCTTATGTGAAATGTTGTAGAAAAACGATATATGATTATTTGTTTGTGTATTTACTTTCGAAATAAACTTTTGATTTTAGATTTAGATAGTTTTACTTTTAACAGGTCTAAAAAAAGAGAAAATTATTGTTTATATTCTGCGTTTCTAGAGGCTATAAAAAGTTTCTTTTAACGACTTACTGGAGTTTTTTACTTAAATCCATTCTCTACAAAACACATTTGAAATAGAAAATAAATACTCGTACAAAGTACAATTTTATAGTCGGAAGAAGATTCTAAGCACTAAGACCTCATTGAATTTTTTTTCACAAAGCTCTGTTTTTGCTAGATTAGGTAAGAAGGATTTTTTTTTATAAGAAATAAAGACTTATATAAAAAAGAATCAAATAGGTTAGGCTAGCTTTATTAATTAATAATTTTAATTTAATGAGTTTAAAGGCAGCATAGTAAACCAAAAGAGTTTTATCCTCCTTCTGACTTCATATTTCATTTTTAGAATAAGGAATATGCTCAAGGTTTCAAAAAATAAAAAAATAGACAAATGTTGACAAAAACACAAAATCTTAAGCAAAACTTTCAAAAGTGACGTTAAGTAAATAAGGCATCAATTGGACTTCTTTTTTTATTTGATGATTTTTTATACTTATATTTTATTTGGGTTCGATTTCAAAACTTTGTATAAGTATAAGAATTTTTATTTTAAAATGTTAATAATACATGGACCATTTGATCAGCTTAGAAAGTGCAAAACGCTGCACTTTTCATGTTCAATGAAGATATTATTTAAAAATTTAGAAAAAAATGCTATTAATAAAAATATTATATCTTTCTACTAATTATAAAAAATGTATAAATTCAACTTATTCTTATCATATCGAAAAAACATTTCTAGTATTAAATATTTTTATTCCCTCGTCAAGTCACAACTTACTTTTTGGAATTTTTAAAAATGTTTTTGGACCAATAAAACGCTAATTTTAGTTAATGATTATATCGATCGATAGGACTTTTTTTTAAGGATCTTTAAGCATTAGTTTCAAAATTGTATACTTATTACAGTAAGTTGTAGACAAATTAATTAACATGTCCCCAAGTTTTTCCTTATTTCCTCACTCTGAAATTTGTTGCATTGTGTCGGTTCTACTTCATTTTTGATCATTGGCATCATTTTTACAAAAGTACATATAACCTACATAATATTTCTGATATTTTTCCGCATACTTCATATAAATCGGTTCAGTAATTCGTTAGTTAAAGAACTGTGTTGAAAAAAAGAAATAAACATGGTTTAAATAGGCAATCTTTGATTCCAGATATTAAACACTAGTCACCACGAGCTACTTTTTTATACCTAACTTGGGCCACGACCGTGGTGCTGGATTTGATATTATTTATTATAAAAAAAAAATTATTATATTGTTATAAATTATCATTATTTTTTTAATTTAACAACCTTAACCTTAAATAATTTTTGTTTCCACATAATGTAAGTGTGAAAATAAGTGGACCACTTTAATTTGATCAACCTGTATAATATTACAGTGGGTCTTCTTCTTCCGTTATTATATTATTTTACTCGTGACGGGTTAGGTCACCATTGTTCTCCAGTGAAATTCATTAGGAATTTTGTTATTATATAGTAATTAGCAAGCGTTAGGCGTGCATCCAGTGCAGCATGTTTACCTTTTTAATGCATCCAATGAAATTTGTGCTGGCTTTTGTGCCTGCTAACGAGGGAGTATTTTCGCTGCCACCCAAGTACAAGTAGCCTAATGTCAGGAACGTGAAAGCGCCCGCCGAACTTCCTTGTTCACCGTAAACGTCGTCTACTGTCACAGACAACTGCAATAAAAAATCATAAAACAGTTTTTTTTATTATTTAATATGTACCATTATATAAAACAAATTCTGAGTGCAAATATGAAATCGTTCTCTACTACGAAACAGTAGAAACAGTATTCTTATCGTCGACATTTGTATTATACGAAAACAAAGACGTCGTGGTTAATTATAAAAGTTTAATTAAATAATATATTTTTCTTGATGACGCTGTAAGATTAGTTATTGTGTTTTATCGGTTTCCGAATCGCTATGTCGGCTAACCATAAAGTATTTTTAACAGTATTATACTGCTCTAATAATTTAACCTATACTATACCAGCGGGTAACTGCATTGGTAACTCGATTAAAAAATAATTAAAAACACACCATTTTAGCGCGACGACTTAAAATAATAGATAATATTTTAGTGTATTGTATTTTGCATTTGCTTGTGAATAAAATGTGAAACGTGTAAACGCAAAACTTTTCGCGTTATATATTATTCAGATTAGGTGTGCAGTTTGTGTACCCTTGAATTATGTATAAGAACATATTTTGATTTTGTTAGATAGCAAACGATTTCCCAGTAGAGGAAACTTTGTGAGAAAAAAAACATAAACCTTTTTCCCGCCGTCTTGCCAATAAACGGGCTTATAATATTTTGTATAACATATTTTATTTATCGCTAAAAACTATATTTTCAGCTACAAAACTGGGTCTGTAGCGTTGAGCTAATGGTCGAGATTAAGCCTTGAACTTGTACATTCGATTAACTGTGAATTCTTTGGAAAATTTTCTATTTAATTTCAATAGCGAGTATCAAAAATCTTACAAGTCCCGTGCGGTTTCCGTTTGTTATGATGCGATGTTAGACCAACTATGTTATGCGGTGAATAAATTACCGGTGTTTTGTGTAGGTGGGTACAGGTGAAGTTATATAAATTGGCGAACCTGTGCATTACCGAACCTTCATAACCAAATAATTATAACGACGCTATATAATATTAGTTAATGGGACCACTAATAGCCAATGCACTAGTATTTATTACCCGTAGTACGTTCATTAGTTGCAAACGACAACGGACATTACCTATTTATATACATTATATATGTATCATGCGGAGCGATTCGCACTGTCTGCCATTTTACATACGGGTAATGGCTTACAGTTGGCCTGTAATAGGGTCTGTTTTAGTACGTACCTTACAAAAACTGGTAACAGCAGAAATCTGTAAAAAAAACACAAAGCTCATTTAATAAGTAATAATATATAATATATATATATCAAATTTATAATAGACAAATATAAATATTTATTAAATCATTTACGTACACAATATATTATGTAATATGAAAATATAATTTTTTTGAGCCTAATGTTACTATCACATTTTTAATGTGACAATTTAATTTATAACAAAAATGTACATATATGTGACATTCAAGTCAAAAGGTTTTGATTTAATACTTTAGTAAAATCCAATATAGGTATTTCTTGTTGATATTCCACACAGTAAACAAAACTCCCTCTGTGAAAAAGCATTTCGAACGGACCTATTTTATATATGATGAGTGGTTTGAACAAAACCGGATATTAAACGAATGGCGAAAACATCTGCTAACCTAGTTTAATTTCAGCTATGCCTTATAAAAGTATCGAATAGATACAATAAAATAAAGTAAAATATTATAATATCCGACCAAATACAGTTCACGATAAAGAATGTTCAATATGTAGGTAACCATAAGTCACAGTTCAAAATCATTTCATTGTAAACATTAAGAAGTATATTTCACCGTCTCTTTAATAAATAATACTAAAGTATATTTATCCATTGAATCACTAACTCACGATTTCGTTAGCCCAAGCTTCATTATCTTCCTAGGTAGAACCGGGTAGAGTAATATTTATTAATTTCCAAGATTTTACTGAATTCTCTTTTCCTTATAAAAACGTCTATTTTCGCCCGGGAGTCGAAATTTAACAGATATTTTTCTCAATAAGGGTATTGAAGAACTAAGTAAATGAAGTTTTGATTAATTGGTAGAGCAAATGTTGAGAATTATGGAATGCTATATTCTAGACGTATTTACATCAATATTGATTATTATTTGAATAAGAAAATATATAATGGAGTTTTACACAAATTAGGAGTATAGAAACGAAACATCCTAACCCCCAAATTTAAGAATTACATTTTATCATAATGAACAATTTAGTTTAAAATCAAAATAACTTAATTTTCAAAAATATTGTCATCTAATGATTTAGTCTAATCAATAGTTGAAATTAATTTTCTGTATTAGTCTATACGGAGAATTAGATAGATTAGATGCATGCAATTATTACTTCTAAAGAATATAACTAAACCAATACTTTCATGTCAAAGTAGTCCAACCTATTTGTGTGTTAGGCTGATTTGGTTCTATGTGCCTTAAATATAATTAATAGAACTGGTGCAGTGGACTGTGGAATTCATCATAGCGTCAGTATGTGTACGTACAATGTACAGTGTCATTATAAATTACATTATTATAATGAATTGGTCATTGACCAAGACATTTAAAATTAAAATAATAATTCAACATAAGATTCAGTTAAACAGATGCACTATGTTAAATAGTAGCCCCCGACGGAGTTAGTTTTCTATAATTATTGTGCGCATCCAAGATAAAAATCAATTATTCTTAAGATGTCCTAGGGTTTTTTGGCATATATCTAAACTATTTCTAAATATCCGTGATACTCCATATCTCCAAAATTATGTATTTTTTTGTTTCTAGTGTCATTTTTGTTTTGTTTTTATAGCACAAACATTTTCATCTTACAACAAAAAACAATAAAATCCTTAATTTAAATGGTATCACTAGTTGACCCATTGTTATAACTGTTATTGACTTAGACTTAAAAAAAATATTTTTTTTTATTTATCAAGCATTCGCTCCTAAGTATAAAAGGATTCTTGATATCTAAATCAATTTTTCATTTCCTTGTTTCATAAACATTACTTTTCTTCGAAAACTCTAGCACTATCGCCGAGAAAACCGTAGAGAATGTCAGTAATAATTTGCAATGAAATTGTTGACATTGCTATATTGTGGGTATTATCTATATTGACAGTACAATGCAGTACATACTTACGAGATGTGTCTAACGATATTCAAATTCGTTCGGAGTTTGTCAATGTGTACATTATACGAACTAATGCTCGTATATTTAGGAAATCTACAAGCGTATGTAAATATCGTAAAAGCCTAACTCTAAAAAACTGTTTTCCTTTTTATTTTTTTCAAAGATAAATAAAAAGGAAAATAGTTTTTTTTCATCGATTCCTTAGGGACGTTCAGAATACTATACAACGCTGCAGTGGTTTTTACCTGATGTTCCGCTGCGGCTTACAAAACTACGTGATCTAGGCACTCTGGCCGGGCAAAATCTACACTGACCTATTTATTTGTTTGTCGCGTTAACGAAGTCGAATAATAATAAAAATTTCAAACTTTATTGTGCAGCTAACCCCTTAACAAATTATATATGTGCTGGTGGTGTTATACACACACACACACACACACGCAGACAATAGACCACTCGTTATACCGATTCGATTCTACAATAATGGTCATCGATTTCACCTTGCCCATGAACTTATCGTGTTTTAGTCCTCGTTATAAAATTACTAGGACAATAATAATATTACAAATTATTTAATTTTATTATTTGTGAATGAAAACTGATTAACATAACATAATATATTGTCACCATTTTTTATACGGCAATATTATTATAATAAATGTATTATTATGTGTGCTGCATGTCTTCGGTATTTGGATAATTTCTTTACTTTTAAACACCTCATAGATAATCATTATGATTCGAATTTTTTTTACGGTATTTATTTTGTTCGCCCGAATACCAGACGCTCCTATATTTGTGCATTGCTAACGACCACTTAGGAAATTAGACCGTACCGTTTTTGACAGGCAAATCGCCTGGCGTCTGGAGTAATTAATGTGGAAAAGGCATTAGTTCGAATTAAATTTCCTTACCCCTTGTATTTTGCGAGTGACTAATATCTTGTGCCATTGGTTGTCGTCAAACCGTATTCGGTTGGGCTTGATAAACATATCCAAAGTTCCGGTGCCCACTTTCATTGTTACGGATATACCGCCGGTAACGACGCCCACGTTCAGGTAATTATTTCCACCGTCTCCTGGAACAATAAGTCAACAACAGTTATTATTATCTTAAGTGTTTGTCAGCTAAAAAAGCGAGTCATATATTAAGTAATACGAACCGGGTTTATCCCCTTTTTCAGTTCTAATCGTATTACACAATATTTTGAGGTAGTGCGAAAGACGTTTAGAAATACATAAAACACGTTTACGTTTCACAAGGTTTATATTTTACACCGGGCTGGATTTATTGTCCTCGGGGCCTTTGAGGCGCATACATGAAATATTATTTAGTTGAAACTTTAATACAGCGAACCCTTTTAATGACTTTGGGGAGGGTGAGAATATTCAATTTCTGGTTTTTTGATGTCAGCGAAACTTGCGGACGTGCCTAGTGTTTCTAAACACGTGCGTTGAAAAATTATTTAGCGAAGCGCCTTTAATGGTATTATTCCAATAAAAGTAGCACGGGATTCGGTGTATAAAGAGAAGCAACAAAGCCATGCGAACGACGCCAAATGCTAACATTTTCTGATAGTTATTTACTTACACTGGCCTAAATATTTTTAAGCCAGAGGAAAATTATGCAAATCACAATCTTTTTTTTTTTATAATTAGTTTGGTATACTAGATATTAAAGAATTATTTTGATTATTTTATATTTAAAGAAAAAAACGATACGATCATTTAAATTAAAAACAAATATTATGTTACATAAATTAAAAGCGAAAGCAATGTTAATTACTTAAACATATAATCTTGTTTAATCTTATACCTCTGACGTACATATATGATATATTTAATTAATAGGTCATCCGCCAAAACCTAATAGTTATATAAGAACACAGCCAACATTTCATTATTAGAATTTAGAGGAATAAATGAATAACGGCTTTCAGACTTGAAAGGAACCCCGATCTCTATAAATCCATCCTCCCTTCTCCTATTCTCTACATTTTAATTGCGTTTTTTAATATTCCTATGCTCTAGAAATAACTAATAATGTTTTAATTAAAACGCTAACAGTTAACTAAAGGTAAAATGCATCAAATAAATAAAAAATAAAATTCTAATTAAAATCTGAAGATAAACAAAGCTATTATATTAAACATAATATAAATTATAAATGTTTGTTGTTTTTGTATCCTTTCTATAGTTATTTAGTTTCATTTACCGCAAAAAAAAAAAAATTGAATTACATTTTATGTAACTCAACAACCATGTATTGTTTTATAAATGAACAAATAAATATTCTATACATGTGTGTTATTATAAATGATTACATTTCTATAAATATAGGTTAAATTATACAGTGACTCGATAATAGAATAGCTAATTATAATTTAGCTGTACATCAATTTATTCATAATTTAAGACAAGATATATTATAAAATTATCAATTGAAACGTGTCCATTAATCCTATAATATACTGACGGTTGTTCGTCAAATAACTGTTGTTAAATGTAATAAAATAAACGAGCGGACTCGTGTCTTTGTTGGTACTTAATATTATTGGCTATATTTTTTGTACGACTACGGGAAATAAGGGTAATAAAGCGGACGCTCTTAAAAACTCGGTGATTATGCTTTCTCGGTCGTTTGCCGCGGATCCAATTATTATTCAAGATGTTTGTATTTAAAGAACAGTTTGCATTACCCATGTGATAGAGTAGTCCCGCCGGTTGTTTAGTCTTGAAGTGTAGCGTTAACGAATCGCCCTCGGTGTTTCCGTCAAAATCGTATTTCAGAAACTCTTCTCCCGTAAACGAAGCTTCTGCAATTACTTTCTCTGAAAAAAAAAACATAAAAAAAATGGTTTATATTGTTCTTTCAGCATGATGAAACTATTCACAAACGCGGAAAAACTATTAGACGGTCTTGAGCAAAAAAAAAGAAAAATTCATGATTAAAATCTTACATAATATCTAGTATCATACGTATCTAGTTTCATCGGAATTTTTTGATACTTTTATTTATTTTGTAATATAAAACATGTTTTAGCTAAAAAGTTTCATAAAACATCATTGATAAAAAACATAATAAAAAAATTATATTTTTTGTCTAAGTAAAACATATTTTTTTAAAGGGTAGTTTTAAAGGGTAACTTTTAAAAGTCAAGTAGTAACCTATATATATATAATACTCTAATTTAAAGTATAGTATTATAATAAAAATAAAAACACGTCATAACTAGTTTTAAATTAACACTTATTAAGTTATTAACATTTAAAGATTTTGGTGGATAGGGAGTTAGACTGTAAAATATTATTTTTATTTGTGTGCACTACTCTACGCACTCATCTCTACAAATTACTGTATCGTAAAGTCCTGAATAACTTGTACGAATAATCGTTAAACTATTCAATACCTACGAATTCAATAAGAATGCTATCGAGCCAGTTGAAAGATGTAGTAATTAAATTAATTTAAATTTAACTAAAAAATATATTGTTTATTCAAATTAGTTATGACTTATGTCTAGTAAGTATGATTTTCATGATTTTTCAAAAACTAGTGTTTTATCGTACAATATTTGTCAATAAGACCTTTTTTTCTATCTGCGTTAGTCTTATAACCATTTTCAATTTTTGAAAGATGTAAATGCTCATATCAAGGCACTTTACTATAAGGTGATGATTTAAAAGAATGGGTTTAATAAAAAAATCAACTAAAATATGGCCTTTTTAAAACTAAAAAAATGTTTAACAATATTCAATCAAAGTAGTCAGGCCTCTTCTTTTATTTAAATGGTATGATCTGCCTTCGTTTTTGTTTACGGTATTATTTTCTACGATTCATTTTTCAACGTGTGTTGGCTTTATTACGTAGGATTTCTCGATTGGATATTTGTGACTATAACTGTTCATTTATTGGGTAATTTTTAATTTATCGCAATAAAAGCGGTAATGTAGTTTTGGGAAACGAGATGCTATCATATATTAGCATTTGTGTTTCTCTAGAGTCTATAGTTTACACATTGTTGTAGGTACATGTTTCGAACATTTGAAGCATACCTTGAAAGCTTTGTGGCTCGTACACGTATGTAGGTCACTTCTTCATAGGTAGATGTTCCATTAAACTATCACCCGCTTCGTTAAATATAATACATATTGTACATTTTGTATCTTTAAACGGAAGAAGCGGAAGTACCATAACGTTTCAAATAATATTTTTTACTGCGTCGTTCTTATTGTTGAACATTGTAATAATGCCTTAAACCCAAATTCTCAGTATTTTTCCATAAATTATGTATGGAGTGAAATAAACAGCGATGTTATTACCTTGTTATTCTTATTTGCGAGTCCCAGTTGAAAACATGGTAAAATGACAAAACATATTATAAGCATTGTCTATTTATTACGGACATTATAACAAAAAGAACATTCGATTTGCTAGTGTTATAACATTATGCGATATATTCAAAGCGAATGCCGTCCGATAAGGATGTATGGCCGCTACAACATTATAATATTGTGAATAACGCTGAACGACGTAAGACTCCACTGCGCAACGGGTTGATTGCGTTTGGTCGATAGTACAATTAGATCAGTATTAGGATTCTATTTGAGTGTTCACTCAAGCTTTGAATAGTGTATTGAAAAATTGTTTACAGAAGCATTTCAGACGCGTTTTTGTTTGCACGCATGCTGCATTCGTTCAAAAAAATTAAACTTTTAACAACAACAAGAACAAAAAAAAATATACAATAATTATCAAACGCACCTGATAGTGGGTGTAGCAAACAAATTAAACAATAGATCATTATTTGTATGTACTAACAGTGTTGAGAAGGAACTTGCTCCAGAATGAACGGATTCCTGAAACGAAGCTTAGAGCTGCTTTCTTTAAGAATATAGTAACGAAGAACAGAAAAGAGTTCCAATTTTTGAGAAACGCGAACGAAAATTATAGTTTCTTTAAATTTTTTCAGTAAAAGAAATAGTTTTTTTTTGTATCCCATCCATAGTAAATTAATGACGGCCAATATTTAGTTTAAAATATTTGTAAGCTATCAGGTGATATGATGACTAATTAAGTCAGTAACTACAATTTTTGTTTCAGTATTTAGTATTTACGTGTGGCGACTACTAAACAGTTCTTTATAATTTTTTAAAACAATAATTTACATTTATCAATTTCAAACTGTTTTTATATTTGTTCAGTTTTTATATGGTTTCGACATAAAACATTGTTGATGAAAAAATCGTTTATACTTGATCCGTCTTAATTCATTAGTGACCTTTAGTAAGCCATAATATGATATAGTACAACATATTATCTAACAATATTTATAAAAAGTTATTTTTTTTTTAAAAAAAAAAAGAAAAAAAAGTTATTATTTAAAAACTGTAATTTTCTATACAACTTGGTTAAATAAAAAAATAAGGAATAAAAATGGGAACGAGTTCTTTTTTAGAGGAACTGGATATTCAACGAGGGTTTTATTTTTCGAATAGAGCAAGAAACTGAACGGAATCCTTTTAAAAAGGAATTTAGCCAACTATATTCGCCCTCAAAACGTCTATTATTGTTCAACTAATACATTGATCAAAGTCACATGACAAGTATTACGAATTCTATAATATCGGCGATACTATAGCTTTTGCAAACATGTCAAACTGTTGGCACGCGAATTAGGTAATCTAATAACTATAAAGTATAATTATTAGTATTATATATTATACATAGATGTAACAACTATGAAAGTACAGATGTTCTTGTGCACGTAACGTACTATACAGTGAAACGTTTTCATTTCCTAATGTAGGTTTTTAATGTTTTCATAGGTAAAGCACTGAGTAATATGTCATGCAATCTGGTGGAGCGGCACACGCAGGGGGGAGTGGAAACCACTATACGTCCTAAGAGCTAACCCTATTATTTTAATTCAAAATATCTATGTGACCAAGCCTAAGTATTTTTGGTAACAACATATTCCAATAATTTACAGCAAAAATTCTTCCAGAGAAAAAGTAACTAATTTTCGTTATATTTTATGGTCAAGTATACGTGTAGATTAAGTAGATGGACAAAAAAATGGCATGATTAAAACTATTTTTCCAGGTTCAACCATTCTTCAACCATTAATTGTAATATATTATCAAACTTTTGATAGTTTAAGGTTTGTACCATTACATAATATGTAGATCAGTAATGAATACTAACTTGAGCAAATTTGTGAATTCAGAATTTGTGCAGTTATTTTTCTACTAGGCGTGTGTGTAAGTAGACAATATTACGGTAACATAGGCCTCCGGTATAACCATGTCAGTTTTAACATATTTTATGAAATATGACAGTATTAACGAGTAGTATCGAGAGTTTTTGGCATTGTTGTGATATTGTGACGAACGAATTATGTATTATTTGGTAAACCTTTCAGCCATCCAATAAAAAAAAGCTATATTAAAAAATGTTTTACTATAACGCTTTTATCCACTCAACCTTTTACGTGTTACATCAAACGTTTCACCCTTCGCCCTAAAAATCTGGTGCGTGCTGACCTGACCGCAAAGATTTATGTACGTGGTACCTATATGTGTTTGTTTTTTAATCGATTTTATTAAAAAATACCATGACATGGATTATACAACTTTTACGACGACGGCAACGCAGTGCCTATATTATAATATAAAAGTTTGGAAACTGAACGAAGCACGAGATTACATAACATAACAGTGAAATTCGCGCCCGAAAAAAAGCTACATAAAAGGGTCGGTATAGCACGAGGAGCAAGCGGAAAAAAACCAAAATCTGATTACAATAATGGCGTTTCGGGCTTACCTCACACAATAGGATTGCCGTTGATTGACAGCTAAACCTACAGAACGGATGAAAAGATCGAAAATTCGACGTATGTTAGAAAATAAGAAAGCTATCTCGGTATTATCTTTTTATACCGATGTTTTGTATTGCTCACGCACATAAAAAAATTTATTTTTTTTTATTGCCCTTTGCTATAGTAAAAATTATCGGCAAGACGCGTTTTGCTCGTTAGTTAAATATAACAATAATAATAATCTGAAAAATGTTGAGAGCGCATACGATTCTTGGAAATTGTATTTTCTTTCCCTTTTGTATAATAAAAATATGTAAAATACGTCCCAGACATACTTTATGTAATATATTATTTAAATATTTATTTTAAAATACTTAAATCAATTTTGTTGACTACTTAATGAGACAAAAAAATAGGAAATTGTGTTTTTTTAGGAATTCAAACCGAGCACAGGACAAGATTAGTTCTCGAATGTACAGATAAGCAATGCATTTACATATAAATACCTAATTAAATCTATTTTCAGAAGAGTGTTTTTGTTTCAATTTCAAAGAGCTTGTGCACTAAGAACTGTTTGAACTTTTGTTTCATAAAAGTAATTTATTAATTGAATTCGCGGATCTCAGATCTTTTTTACTCGTCCCATTACATCAATTACATCAGCAAAATCTGCTATCTACAGAATTTTGTAATGTAAGTTTTATATTATAATAGAAGTTACTGAAATTGCGGTTCTATTTTCGCGCCAGAGGTAAAGTAGCGGAAAAAAATAATAATAATTTACAATTTATCGTACCTTGACATTTTCTAACCTACTTTCAATTAAATGTTGTTGATATGCTGTTGCATGATTTTTTATTACATGTAAGATTTGTTTATAAAATAAAATAAATTATACTCTCGTAGTGCAGTGTACAAAAACACAAGGGAACGCAAAAAAAAAAACTAGAGCATGAAAAATAATTAGGAAATTGCTTTTTCAATAGAAACCATTCAAATAAATAACTATA